TAATCACCGCTTTATTCTGCAACATTGTTTGCGAGATTGTAAATGTATTTTCAATGCGAATACGTAATGAAATTCACGTCGGACTTGAAAATTGTGAAATTGATCGACTGATGAGATTGAACGGCATATTGATGCAATACTGTGCAGAATCAATTGCATATTCGGTGTGGTTTTTCATGTTTATATGTTCTGCGATTTCGTCCTCGTGACTGCACAGGTTTATGCGTTTCTCTTGTACATCGGAAGGGAACCATTTTGAAAAATTTTTTTCGAAGGCAACTTGCTTTTATTTTTACTGATGCGGCCGTTCTTCATCTCTAAGGATGTGGTAGAGCAACAAAACGAGTAAGATTTATATTGATTTATCTCACGTACGCAATTGATATTACGGTTAATTTTTTAATAAAATTGAAATTTTACTACAATGTTTGGCTTTTTTATGTGTTATTTTAGGAACAAATATTTCCACTACCATAAAAATCATCTATTATAGTGTACGGGTTTTAATTAAACGAAAATGGAAGGCAAGGTTTTACATACAACATTTACACGCATAGTATATATGTTTGGTGATTAGTGACCGTTAATCGATAATTATGCAGAAATCGTGAGATGCGGTCTGGTGTGATGTAGGTCTCAGAAAAACTTTTTCACGAAGAAGCCGACGCCTTACACAAAAATGTCTTTTCTATACCAATAATGTCAATCCAAATTTAAATAGAAAACAGTGTTACATTGTTTGAACCAAGGGAGAGAACTAAATTGGTTTGAGAAATTTGAAATTAATAAATATAAATTTGAACATGGAGATAAATGCATTAATAATATAATAAATTTTGATCTACCTCCCATTTTAAATATGTACATAAATAATATTAAACGTCCAAATAATTAAATTAATTATTTTAATTGTTATTATTTTTATAATAATTTCATAATATTAAGGTATTATTCTAATTTTTTATCTTTTATTTTTAATCACTAATATATCATTAATTTCTTAAAGTATTTACCATTATAATATATACTTGTGTTACATTTCCGGCTTTTTGCACGTACAAATTGAGTGCCATTAAAAAAACCAGCTTCCCATTGGAACATTGCGTTGGGGGGGGGGTATCGACGGGTTCACTTTTGCAATTCATGTCGAGAGACGTGGTTGTAGAAATCCTTCAACCTGATGATGAGATAAGGGTTCGAAATCCGGTTCGTTGGAAAACTACTTAATGTGAGTAAGAACTATCTTTTTAAAAAAGGCTTGAATACCGCACTCATTCCATCATTCACCATTTCTACGAGAAAAAACGGTTCCAAAGCAAAGAACAACGAAGCATTTTTTGAAGGTCTAAAAGATCGTATATTCATCAAAAATTGCTCACAACTAACCCACCTAAATCCATCCCAATGTTGAATTTTTGTCTTTATCATAGGATTCCTAATTTGAGGAAATTAGGGTGAACGAGTTTTTACAATGAACCGCTGGTTGAGGTTATGTTTAGAAAATAGATGTATATTTTTGAAAATTTATAATTTTTAGGTTTCAGCACTGATTACTGGTTTTAATCAATTTTAACCGTACAACTATTATTACAGCCTTATTCTCTGGTTCAAATAATGAATTTCATTATCAAAATTTCAGTTTTAGGAAATAGATTTTTTGGAGCTTTTCCCGTCGAAATCAGTTTGGTTTCTTGAATAAGAAATCACCTGCCATCATGTCCAAGCAGGCTAGAAGAAAATAATGAAAAATATCCTGTCTGGTATCCTCTGCACAGACCCTCTTATCCTTATTTGTGAGCAGAGTAATTTATATTTCATTTATTTTCATTAACCCTCATCAGGGCTTACTTTTCCTTTTTTCCTTTTTTTCTTTAAAATCTGGAATAAGGTACTGGCGGAAGTCTTCTTTTATTTATTTGTTTTCTTTTTCTCTTATAAGTTTTAGTTTCTTTCTTTCAGATGAAGTATTCTCCGGATATAATACGTTAGATGTAGTAGCTACTAAAAGTTACTAAAACGCCGTCCGGCTTCTTTGAATTAATCAAAAGAAACAATCGGCAAATTAAACAATCACAATAAAAAATCATTAAAATTGATGATACCAAAGCCGTACTTCTAATTGCAAGCAAAATTCATAAATTTCTATTCGGTTAAAGCCATAAGTTTTAATATTGAAAGTAGATATTTATATTTCTTAACCGTGTAAACCATTAGAAATACTTTGATGAACAAAATTAGTACCAACCTTAAATTTTAACGTACTTAGGTTTATTCATATTGTGCCTATTAAAAATAGTTGAGGTTGTAAAATCAAGACATTTAACTAGAAAATACTTATTGGCTAATTCTATAATAAAAATGATTGAGTAAAGAACAAAAAAAAAATTAAATAAAAAAGTGTAAAAAAAACTTTTTTGTTCCCTTTTATACCGAGTCACCTACTGGCACGAATCAAGTTCGTTAAATGTCTTTACATTCATTGGAAAACATTTCTGATAAAATCCTGAAGAATTCTTTCCCATTCGTCAAGAACAGCCGTTTTCCATCCCTTCTAGGGCGTCAGGCTTGGGGTTTCGATTGGTTTCAAAGTTGGATCACCAAGCACTCAATTCCAACCTCATTCAGGTAGTCATCCACAATGTACTCNCCGAAGATCGTGGGTTCGAATCCCGCTCGTGCCATTGACTTTTTTATCTCTACTAAAAACCTTAATTAATTTTAATATATTAATTGGTCAAGCGTACTACGAAATTAGTGAATTTAATAATACCAATGTATTTCATACTCAGATAAAGTGTGGGGCTATTCTTGTGGTGTCATATTGGTTTTGTGTGAAAGTGTTGTAAAACGTCAATTTGTATTCTGCTGTTTTTATACGTTTGTGACAGGGTGGGAGGCGCGATAAATGTGAAAAATTTTCTGAAATCATAGGCGGTTTTATTGAACTAAAAGGAAGTCGAGAACAAGGATTTTCAAGCTTGGATTTGTTCGGCTTTCAATATTGGAAAGGAGGTTAATTATTATGGACGATAACGAAGGAAAGGTAAATATAAAATTGTTTAATAGTTTGTTTGCTTTATGATGTTGGCGCAGCTACGGCTGAGTTTGCATGTATCGTTCTGTAATTAATGCTCTGTCTGTCTCTGTTAATGTAAACCATTTCTAGAAAGTTGCGTTTGTATTTTTTTCGCGTTTAGTATTTGTATTTTGTGGAAATCAAAGTTGTGGTGTTTTTCAAAGTGGTAAGTGGCCAATGCTGTGGGATTGGTTTTAGTGTTTTGCATTCATAGAAATGTCGTTTTTTCCGTTTTTCTAGATATTTCGATGTAATTGCAATGTATGTTGCTAGGCACTTCACACAATTAATTTTATAAATTACATAATTATTATTTTATAACAATTAAATTACAACGGATTCGAAAGCTGTTGGTATTGGGTCTTTGAGCGTTCCCACACTGTTACAATCATATAAAAACATCTGAATACAATTTCATGTTTCACAAACTTTCACACTTAGCCAATATAACACCAAAAGAATAACACCACAGTTTACGTGAGTATGAAATACTTGGTTTCAAAGTTTATATTTACATTGTATTTTTTCAATCAGCATATGCTTTGTAATTCACCCAGGCCCTGAAGATGACCCGAATAATGGTCGAAACGTCGGCAAAAAAATGAAAAATGTGTTATTGTAAACTTCTTAATTTTTGACCGCTCCTCACGAATCCAACAATTATTATAAACGATAATATTTTCATATAGAATTATATCCGATATGTTGTGATTACTATGTATTTTAACACTGTAAATTATACCTTTATTATTTTAAGTACGGTGTTTGTCTTGAACAAATTACAATTTTTAAATATAAATATACATTTCATCGGTCGCCATTGAATTGCATGAATTTAAAAATAATCGATGTCAGACAAGCTCAATTACATTTAGGTGAATCATGACATAAAGGATAATGTTTGCTCGAAAACCTGTTCAATACTGAATTGCATGTTCTTTATAATTGTTATTTAATAACAAATAATTGCATAGTAATGACATACTTCGTGTTGGCAATAATGTTGAATACATAAAAACAACCTAATGAGATTTTACAATTGTTTACATAAATTTAAAAATAATTGAAATATATTATTCATTTTAATTATTTATTATTATTTAAAAAATATCAAATATACACAAAAGTAAAATTTTATTAATTTTATTTTTTACGTTACATGTCAGATTGATCTGTCAAGTGAACTATTTTTGATATGGTACAGATTGAGTTACGACCATTTAAATTAGCTCTTTCAATTAATTATTATTTCTATGTAAGGTTTCGGTTGAGATAAAAATATCAGTGTCACGAGCGGGATTCGAACCCTCGACTTTCGAGTAAATACGCTGCTGCTCTACCACTTGAGCTATCGAGACTTCGATCCACGCGGATACCAACTCTCCATCTCAACCTACAACCGTTCGAATTTTCCCTCTTTTTGTCATTTTTCAAATTCATTTTAATTTATATTTAAATTAGCGTAAATATGAAATGAATTGTTGCCTTAAATTTAGTGATTATTTGGAGATCGTGAGATACAGTCTGGGGTGACGTAGGTTTAGAAAAACATTTTCTTTATCGTGCCAACGTTTCGATGTTTATTAAGATCATCTTCAGGGATAAAGAAAATGTTTTTCTAAACCTACGTCACACCAGACTGCATCTCACGATCTCCAAATAATCATTAATTAACGGTCACTAAACACCACACTCTTAAATTTAGTTATGAATTCTCATTATGAAATTCTCTTAGTAATACGTTACGATTTAATAATCTTCTACTATCGTTCAGCAGTAAAGGTAGCTAAGTTATAAAGTTTACGATGTACAGGCTAAATTTCATCAAAGATAACGTTTTCGTTTGGATTTTTCTATCGTGATCGAAAATGATGATCGTTTTTATTGATAATTGTCCGCCCCACTATTCATAGGAAGATCGCGTTACTGCCCATCTCTATTACGATTATTCGTTTTAATTTGAATAATGGAGTCCAAGTGGAAGAACGGTGTTTTCCACCACGGTACCATCGCGACGAACAAAATCGGGTTTCTTTTTCCAGAAAAACCTCGACCAATTTGGAACAAGAAAAACGTTTGGTACCAGACCAAAATTGAGACTATATTGGGCCGATGGTTCCGCGCATTGACAATTCTCGGATGCACTTCTTTTTACGTGAAGAATGGAGAATTTCGAACTAGTATTCCTAGATTTTTCTACCCAGTCTTTTTAATCGCAATGGATAGTTTTTTGATCGGTTATTTGGTGTACTATGACGCATACTATACCAAGTTGTCAATTTTGGAACGTTATTTACTGTGCTTTGAAGAAGTCACTTTTTTTCTTGTCCCGAACGTCTTTTACATCTTCTTGCAGAGAAGGAAGAGAAAGTGGATCGTTTTGCTGACCAATTTAAGTAAAGTAGAAAATCATCTGGGTGAAGTTCACAACCGTTATTACAAATTTGTCTTTTTCTTAATTGCACCTTGTATAATCCTAGTAGCTGTAATTTCGAGTTTTCTTGTGCAAATAAACCTCTTACTCGGGTTAGTAGAATTTTTTACGATATTAACTGCAACATCTTCCTTTACCGCTGTAAATCTCTACGGCTTCTTGCTGAAAACCATCAGATCGAATTACGAGTTGATAATTTCAAAAATAAGCAAAACTGATGGCAGATCGATAAATGGCATAATGGACATCTCTAACACACTGCTAAACGTTTGTTCGGAGGTTAATATTATTTACGGTCCGCCGTTGCTGTTTTCCTTTTTCGCTTATTTCGTCCTAATGACTGAAGAACTGTACAGAATTGGTCGACAAGCTGGAAAAACTACAGTAGCCGAGGTGATCCTGAAGTTAGCATGGCCATATTTCTACATCATACAGACAGCGATAATCATATATTCGAGCGCAGAAACAACAAAAAAGGTGAGCGCGCACTTCAATATGATGCACACTCACCAATTCAATCGGCAAAAACTAAAATTGGTTGTATTTAGTTGTTAAAATACCTGGACGAGTAGAACCTAAAAACGTGAGAGTCATTGTTATAAAGATATTCGATGGGTAATATAATAGATAGATTAATAGACATAACGATTGGAATGGGAAAGATAGGTTCCAGTCGTCCGTTAAAACACCCCTAAAAAACGTTATGTACAAACATTTAGCAGCACAATCGCAGTATAGTTGAAGGCATCTTTAACAAATTAAGTAGATAAGTAGATGAGAAAAATTTATAAAAATCTGAATAGAGATGGACACAGGCAGAATGAGTGTGGGTGTATTTATGTGTCTGTGTCTGTCGGTTTGTGTGTCTGTGTTTAATTGTTTTATCTCATCATGCTCCGCGAACAGCAGTGTATCAAATTAAATATCACATTTGTATATACAATATATATTATAATACCTACACATATATAATAAGCAAACACATAAACACAATAAGCAAACAAACATTATGAAGTTGTACTATTCGAGGTTAGCTGTCCAATTGAATAATTATTTTGTATGAAATTTTCTGGACGTAGTAGAGACAAATACTGTAGGAGCTGCCGGGTGTGCGCAGAGAAAGAGAGAGAAAGAGAGAGAGAGAGAGAGAGAGAGAGAGAGAGAGAGAGAGAGAGAGAGAGAAGTCTTATACATAGCGTAATTGTGATGTTACATAAATAACAGACCTGGTTCTACGCGAACGATTTTTGTTGCCGATGAAGCTTTATCGTTTTCATGATAGATGGGGTCATTCGGAGGTAGGAAAAGGAGACTTTCATCTTCTCCCATTCACCACGAGCGGCAAGAGGGATGTATGTTGAAGACATAGAAGGGGGACTCGGTGTACCATAGCTGGCCAATATGCGGGCAGGCTTGGATTCGTCGATCAAGGGATATATGAAGACAACCTGATGGAGACACATCTAAGTATGGCGGCAATCCGCCTTAGTTGACGGAATGACCTTCTATCTTGGCGATTGCTTGCCTTGGCAAGATGATTGCACTAAATGGAGCTGAAGAATTATGCGGACTTCGGGTCAGCAGGTCAGGAGTGAACAACACTGCCGGCGACGCGATGGGCAATCGATGGATTCATCAGGCATCTTCGATTCATCAGGGTTTCGGTATGAATGTGCCCTCCGCCTTAGGACAAATTCAATTAATACGTAGGATGTGATGAGGAAGACAGACTCTACTAGCGAAATGTACATAATACAACACATACAATACATGTGGGGCTGGTACGAAGACGCACATCCATGTACTGATCTGATGGCAGACATGTACTAAAAAATAATACGGATAAACGATCAGTGCCTCCAAGTCCTTATAGCCGTGACTCTGGATACCAGATAGGTCTTTCTTTCTTCCAGTACCTTCACTAAAAATGCTCTATATCATCTTTTCTCGGCCAATTGGCTCTGCCTAACTGTGTTTTCCACTCCACCGGAACTTTGTCACTCTTAAGCGTGTCCAGGATGGACCTTTTGGTGGTATCCTGTCGGGACGTGGAAGTGAAATTATGCATGTAAGTTCATGGTTGTTACGCACTCCACTTAAAACATCTTTAACTTTCGTGATTTTTTGGGTGCCATCCTTTGTTTCATGATTTTGTGACTCCTGGATACCAAGTTGCCGTGTGAATCTCCCCTCTGATCGCCTGATTAGACAACCGACCGGTTATCGTCGTCTCAGAGCAGACCTGAACGCACGGAAATTCGGGGTGTTAAGGAAAACCAGAAATATTTCTTTCAAGCAGCTGGTGTAGTAGTGTGGGCCCGAGGTTGCATACCTGAGCGTACTAAAAAAAGCCTCGAAGATCTCGGTATTAAACAATTCCCGAGAATCATCCTCATCCTTTCTTTAACCGCTTTGAGGTCATCACTATCCATATCATCCATTTGTCCGACGATTCCGGCCATCGAGTACGCTAACCAACATTGACGGACACTGGCACGTCATAGTGGTACACGATTGGATCTGAGGTGCTGGCGAAGTACAACTATGTGTCACCCGCACCAAAGAGTTTTGGGTGAATTATTATTTGATCAGAAAGCTAGTGCAATTGCTGTATTTCATAATTTTTGTAGTGTATTTTTTGTATATTTCTTTATGTGGCGTAGTTTTTATTTATTGTGCAATAAAAAATATAAAAAATTAAATTTCCGTTCTGCATTTACTCCCTTAACAAATTTATATAAATATAAAGAAAAACGAATATATTATAAATTAATAGATTTTATTATCAAAAATCAATTCGTTGTTGTAAACTATGCTCCACACATGTATGCACATATACAGGGTGAATTGCTACTCGTGCTACAAACTTCTCCAGTAGATTCTTCACCCTAAAATGAACAAAAAAGTTCATATTGTCCATGGTCCGATTCTCAACCATTTCAGAGTAATTTCGCTTTTTATCGATTTTGAAAGATATCACGTCCTGGCGTCGGAAAATCGTGATATCTTTTAATCTAAACATTTCTCTTAAAATCTATAAGCACCGTTGAAATCCCCGTTAATTTTTAGAGAGAATCAAAATCATAATTCCATTGAAATTTTTTAATTTAATTTAATGCCCATTTAGTATGTAATGCTTAAGAAGTTTACAAACAGCTAGAAGGTCAAGGAAGAAAGACCCAAACGTTTTGCCACCTTCATCTTCTTATTGAAAAATTAACGGGGATTTCAACGGTGCTTATAGATTTTAAGAGAAATGTTTAGATTAAAAGATATCACGATTTTCCGACGCCAGGACGTGATATCTTTCAAAATCGATAAAAAGCGAAATTACTCTGAAATGGTTGAGAATCGGACCATGGTCAATATGAACTTTTTTGTTCATTTTAGGGTCAAGAATCTACTGGTGAAGTTTGTAGCACGAGTAGCAAGTCACTCTCAAACATTAGCAATCCTTGAACCACCATTTTTTCTCTTTTTGTCATCAACATCTTGGTCTCACAACCACTAAATAAGAAAATGACGAGTGCGTTGGAAGCGTTATTAAATCAGGTAGTTTTCCTCAAATTTGCTGCCTTCTGAGACTAAAATTAGAAACTCTGGATTACTTTATACACTTTCCGATTTACACAATTTTCCACTCTTTTTGTAGTTCTGGCTGAAATAAAACACAAAAAATTAGCCCAAACATTTTGCCACCGTCATCTTCTTATTGAAAAATTAACGGGAATTTCAACGGTGCTATTAGATTTTCAGAGAAATGTTTAGATTAAAAGATATCACGATTTTCCGACGCCAGGACGTGATATCTTTCAAAATCGATAAAAAGCGAAATTACTCTGAAATGGTTGAGAATCGGACCATGGACAATATGAACTTTTTTGTTCATTTTAGGGTGAAGAATCTACTGGAGAAGTTTGTAGCACGAGTAGCAATTCACCCTGTATGTACAGTATTGAAGTTATTACCCGAGTTTTAGCAGTCCCAGTTCCGACCTCGGTCCTATCCGTCCTGCCAGTGAAATTATGTTCGAAGGGCTGTCAACCCCTATGCACCACTATGTCAACTCGACGCACTTTCACTCATTCCTAAATACATTATCTTATTTAGATACCATTCAGTCAGATAAGGTGGTGAAGTACTTAATGTTCTTCCATCACCCTATTTTATTATATAACTAAGGTAAATGAGGGTCGATGTGGAGGTACTCAATATTCAACATCGGTCTTCTCATACCACACATTCATTCTCAATATACACAAAACTAGCTATAGTAGTAAAACCTACAATGTGGCAGAAGCTAATACGATGCAGATCTTCTCCGTTCTTATTATTAGACCTGGGTGTGAAGACGAGGCAAAACTGTCCAACCTCGTGTAACGTTAACTTACAACCTTAACACATAGGTACAACCTACCAACTAACAACCTAGGTATAATGTAAATGTAATAATCGGGGTATAATATAATGCGCCCTATAACAGCTATTGCATCCCCCGTTCTCTGCCTAAAGCACAACAGTGAGTCCTATTTCATCAAGGAACTTGATTAATAGGCCCGGTTTTTTATATGGTCACATTGTACATCCCAAAACACTTTCTCCTGCGGGCAAGTGTAGCACCGCAGTTTGTTAGTAGGTGTGCTGGTGTCTCCTCTGCCTCTTTGCAGAATCTGCATGTGCCATTTTGGATTATTCCAATCTTCTTTAAGTGTCCATATAGCTCGCAGTGTCCTGTTAAGAATCCTTTTAGGATTCGCAGTTTATTCCTGCTTCCTTTGACACATTCTGTAATTTTTTTCCTTACGAAATTTGTTAGGAGATTCTTGGATTGCCTGTGTCCAATGAGTGAATTCCTGTTCCTTCATTTTCTGTTTGTTCTTCTGTCTGACATACTGATTGATAGTGTGTAAGAAGGGTACGGGTCCTAGGTACAATTATGTCAGAACGACTTGGAATGATGAGAGATTTTATTTTATGATTGAAACTTTTTCAAACTGCTTTAATTGTACAGTCTTCTGAACATTTTTATTTCTATGGTTTCATCTATATATCCAAAACAGGAACAATTTCAAAACAGGCGCTTTCAAATCAATCTTGAAATACTCAAAAAATTATATAATTAACCAGTTGTGTTTTTCTAGGCAAACGAATTCAACGAAACTTTATACAGAATGATAATGGCTGATAAGAACGACGTGTTTAGCAGAAACGTAAGTTTTGAATTTTGCACATCGGCTTTCCTATATGATGTTTTTGATACTTTGATGAGGGTCGATGGCTCGTTCCAATTTTAAAATTGTTTTCAGTACAAAGTTAACACGCACTTGGCAAACCAGAAAACCGCTGTTTTCACCGCCTGCGGATGGTTCACGATTGACTACACAACCTCTTGTTCGGTAAACACTTTATTGACATTTCCGAATCAATCTTCCTCTCTCTCTCTCTCTCTCTCTCTCTCTCTCTCTCTCTCTTTTTTTTTTTTTTTTTTTTTTTATAGACTGATCACAATTTATTGTCCTCTGTGTGATTTTAGATGATAGCGACATCGGCCACTTACTTGATTATACTCCTACAAATGGGAGGGACGAGTCTCGGGGAAGAACCGGAAGAATAATCTTTAAACACTTGTAAATTTTAAGAACATTTCAACGATGTTTGTGTTTTTGATTTTGTAATGTTTAAAACATCTTTTGACAATGTAAAATCCGTTGAAATCATATAACTAAAGATAAATTTTAAAGGGCAACATCGTAATTATTATTTAACAATTTATAATTGTAACATTACATTTCTTCGACAAACCTGACTTATTGTAAATAACTGCAATATTATGTTTTATTACTCTCACCGTTTTACTCTTTATTATTGTGTAAATTATTATTATTTAAAAAAAATATATTACTGATATTGTTTCGAGCAAACTTTTTCCATCGTATTTTCTTTACTTTCTATCACTTTCTATCATATTTTATTTAATATTTTTGTTATGTATAAAATTTATTATATAATGTTTGAACAATTACATAATTATAACATTAATAACACATACTTCAAGAAATGATATTTTAAAAAACAAAAATTTTGTTTTCATTATTTTTACATTTTCTCTATGTTTTTTACGTTATAAAAGTATTTTAAACGTAAAGATCCATTGTTTTATTAGTCAAAAATTATAGACAAAAGAAATTAGTAAATTAGGATTAATTTTTAAGAGTTTGTTTAAGATGAGATCTAACTGCAAATCCTGCACATATACAATTCTATACGTTAAATCATTTAAACTGTGGTGTCATCATTTTGGCGCTCAGTTGGTATTATATTGCATTATATTTTGGTAAGAATGATTCAGTATGATTTCAGCCAGGATAAACTAATCTATATAAACTACAATTATATGAAATGACTTTCTTCATCTTACTTGGCGTCCGACCTAGTTATTATCCTTATGATTTATCAAATTCTCAAAGTACAGAGCTTGCGAATAATATATCAAATTATTGTTTAATACTGGAAACAGCTGTGGCAATGGCTATTGCACAACAGTTAATATATTATAATATAACTTGCGTTATTGCCAGGACACATACCACCTTTTGGCATCATGATTCAAGAAGTTACGGAAAATTACAAGTGCTTACATGATTTTCACCAACCAGCGGGTGTTGCAGATCTCCATTACACTACACTAAATGGATTCAACCTGGTTATAATAAGCTGCGCAAAAATGTATAGGGATATTTGTAATCTATTCTTACTGCTTTAATTTTAAGTGTTAAGTGGATTAAAGTAAGTATTCTTGTTAAGTGGATAAAATAAAATAGAAAATGCAAACCTAAAACAAACAAATGTTATTAGAAGGTTGTAAAACCTCATTTTCAATTACGGATTTACTTAAGAATATAAATATGAAGATTGCTCATTTTGTAAACAAACACCTTTTCTCGTCTTTTCTCCATTTTAATCCAGTTGTATTATATTTAACCATGGAAAGACATCATCTTGAACCAGAAATGCGCAATGAGACTGAGTCATCGAGGTCACCGGCAAGTGGACATTGCAGAGGCAGATGGCGATTCTCAGAGCGTTATCTCCCGAATTTGAGCCGATTCCGAGAGACTGGAAGTGCCATTAGGATGCCTGGTAGTGGATCTCAGCCCATTACGAAGCTAAGGGAGGACAAATATATTGTCATTGCTGCAAGAAGGAACCCTTTACATAGTGCTCACCAGGTCCTAAATGAAGATGTTTTGGCAAGGCCTTTATCGACACAAACGAATCGTAATGCAGCGAAATCTCGCCCACCAGCAAATCACGAGAATATGGTGCCGTAAGCGCCTAGAAGAGCACAACAATTGGAATGATGTTATGTTTACTGATGAGTCCATTTCTGTCGGAATAGTGAGAGCAGGCGCTGATTAGTCTACCGAGAACGGTTGATGCGTACAATGCCCAGTTCGTGCTCCATTCAGTCCAGCTTTGCTTTGGGTGTATTCGTCTAAGCTGGGGTTTACACTGGAGGACGAAATGGACTCCATATTGCAGAAGGCAATCTCACCGCAGTTCGTTATGTCGAGGAATACACCCCTCAAAACAGGGATCTCATTGGCAATGATTTTCTATTTCTGGATTACAATGCCAGACCTCAAAGAGGCAGAGCTGTTCATCAATGTTTGAAAAACGAGTGAATTTCCCATCTGTATTTTCCCCTTTTGTCTCCAGACCTCAATTTCATTGAGGACATGTTGCAGAGATGGCTTTTCGATCACCATACGCAGTCAGTTGACCAGCAACAGATAAAAGCAGCGTTGCAACATCTATGGAGTCAAATTGGTGACAACCTTACTAAAAGTATGCTTAACAGGTGCACAAAGCTTTTAGCTAACAGACAACACTATACACGGTATTAATTGTTTACAAAATTATTCTGTCCAATAAACAAAATTATAGAATTAAAACCTTTTAGTTTGTTATTTTCAAATTCTCTTCACTAAAATTTTCTTCAGTTAAAAACAATAATTTTTAATAACTTTTAATGAATGTGGTAATAAAAAATGAATACTACGGAAAGTAAATATTAGAAAATTGGCAATATCACAATTTCTTTTTTGAGCAGTTTATACCACCAGTGCTGCACGCCCTATTGCCTAAATAAAACATGTGGGTAAGAAAATAATTTATTAGTTAATACGAGTTTCTCCTCACCGCGTTTATAACCATAGATGTTGTTTAAATTGTTTAAAAAACAGTTAATAATTTGATTTTTGTATAATATTGATGAATAATACAACTATACTGTGTAAGTCAATTAAGTAACAACCTGGCCAACAACGAATTTTTTTCAAAAAAAGACGTTTGTTTTTAAAAAGTGATATCCAGTTGTTGAACTGTTTTTTAAGAGAGAATAGGTCTAATTAATGGTCTGCTCCCCTGAACCGATAAGTGCTTCAATTGTTTTGATGTTTTCACTCCTGAGCATGTTTCCTTTTCAACCGAGATAGTATAAAATGATGCTTTATGCCAAATCACTTGCCAGATTTGACAAAACAAGTTTATATGGATTTTGAATCCTGTATAATCTAATAAAAAAACTATTCAAAAATTATGAAAGAAGGCATATATTAATTTATTACGCGCAATATTGAATTTTTTGTGCTACTTTTGAATCGAATAACAGTTACTGATTTTAAAGTTAATATCTTGATCGGATAAAAAAATTGTATCAATACAAAAACAATGAAATGTTATATTTGAGATAAATTATGTAACAGAAAATTCAAAAGGTGGATTAATTTCTAAGACTTTTTCCCGTAAAATATTCATTTTAAACGGTTATAATGTGATAACAAATAAGTGAATGTTAAAAAGTTCTTTATTTCTGAAGATAGAGCGAAATCTGTTGACCTCGGCCCAAAATGTGTTCAATTGATAGTTGATCAGCAACCTTTTAAATATTTATCTACTGTATAAATATTTGGTCAGAAATGTTGCAAAAAATAAAAACAGCTTTCAACACACGTTCGTGCGAATGTATTTCCATCCAGTAAGAAACAAAATTGCGCATTTTGCTCTCGACAGGATTTATGTGTTATGTGGGGTGAAAGGAACACAGTAAGCAAAAATTTATTGGCTGTATCAATCAAGATCACTGCCTCACAACGAGTGTTCTATATTCATCGATTTGGGTACTTTGTGAGAAGGGAAGTCATCAAAAAAAATGGAACACTTTAAAATATGGATTGTTCCTTTCGTTCAAAATTTCCCAAAATAAAGAACATTTTCTATTGAATAAACCTATTAACTATTTTAGATAATAAAGAGCGCATTTTAGAGCCATTTGGGCAAGGGAAGATTTGCAAAAAAAAATATTTTGATACCAAATAAATCAACCGATTTTTTAAAATTTTTTGATTACAATTTTTTATCGGTCTATAAGATAATGGGTAGGAAATCTTATTATGGAGTTCCACAAAATCAAAATAGACACCGTACAAATTTAACTATGTTTAAATTTATTTTTTCCTTATGAAAATTCGACGAGTAAAATGATTTGACTATTCTCAAGCTATTTCAATAAATAAAACAATCAGCTTTTGTACGGGATTAAATTTGTATCCACTCCTATGACTGTTTTTTTTTTAAATGTAGGCAATTGTTTTGTCATTTACATCTTTGCCAGATTGGCAAACATTATTTTTGCCATATTGCTCCTTATTTTTCTGTCTTGATTTCAAATTCTGACAACTTCGTTCGATTGAATGCCTACGTAGAAACTTCAACTTAGTTATACCAAGTTGAGGGCGAGACTCTATTAACTCCCTATTCAGATGTCACAGGACAACCCGACCGTCTCTATGACACGTCGAGGGAAAAACTTAGTTAGGATTAGGGTAGTGAATCGAATTGTCACATTTTTCCATTGAAAGCGCAGATTCTGCATATACAACAATACTGTTTTGATTCTTCGCCGTGAAATAAAATTCTTCACCTTTTCTTAGATGCAAAAAGTATACTTAAATTAAACAGATTTGAGCGGATTAACTCTGATTTTCCATTTTTTTGGTTACTGATTTATTTTTATTTTATTTTATTATTTTTTTATTTTTGGACTGGGGCTTCCAACATCTAGGTAATTTCAGTCCCCAACTAAGTCTATATTCTATTCACCCTTTCAAACACTACATTCATGCAAATAAATACATTCATACATATAAATACATCCATACAGTGCGCTCATTCCGTTTGGACGGTGGTATACTTGATATTCCTACACCGACCTCTACTCAAACTAATCTAGATTGGGGTCGATGAAGCACTTTTATAAATATTCCGACATCGACCCCGAACACACACTCATACGCTCTCAACGTTCGATGGGCGATGATGACGTTATATTTCACCCTCACCCCTCGCCATTCACGCTCATAAATACATGCACTCAGACAAAACATATAGACACACAACACATAAGACATATTATATACAATAAAAATATCAATTTCCCCTAAAAAGCGGAACAGCGGACCCAGAAACCTGCTGCAGTTCTCGAGAACCATTTTCAGATTGGATGGCATGCCTACAAGCTACATGTAAGGAGCCATGGCATGACATGTTTCCAGTATGTGGGACACATCGAGCAACCTTTCACTGCATAAGAGGTACCTGCGCGGGCTTTTGCCACTGATTTATATTTATTTAGAAACCGTGAGATGCGGTCTGGTGTGATAGGTTTCAGAAAAACATTTTCTTTATAAGGCGTCGGCTTCTTTGAGGTGAAAGGAGCTGACGAATGGAAAAAATGTGTTGGTAATGGTTCGGCCAGATTATCCTTTCAGGATTAT